TACTCCTGACCGTTGTGCTGGTCTGATCTGCAACTACAGGAAACTTTTGGTTGAAGTTATTGCTGCCAAAGGAGGTTCAACCAGTTATTAAATCCAAGGGTTCACATACTTTTTCCACCTGCACTGTGAATGTTTACATGGTGTGTTCAATAAAAACATGGCAACATTTCATTCTTTGTGTGTTATTAGATTAAGCAGACTGTGATTGTCTATTGTTGTGACTTAGATGATGATCAGATCACATTTTATGACCAATTTGTGCAGAAATCCATATCATTCCAAAGGGTTCACATACTTTTTCTTGCAACCGTATATATATGAAGCAAAAGGTCCTTGCACACAGGCTAGAGGGTTGTACATGCCGGGTGCCAGCCAGGGCTGATATTATCCAAGTCAAGAGGGAAAAAAAGCTTTAAAAAGCAAAAAGGGTATGCTTTAAAAGATCAGATCGACGTTTCAGTCCTGCATCTAGGACTTTTCTCAGGACTGAAATGTTGATCAAGAGTATCCTCTCTTCCTCATGTCTGAAGCAATACATATCGATCTGATAGAGTTTAACACTTAAAACAACTTATGTTAGAGAAGGGGAGGGAGGGGTGATCATTTTCATCTCAAATGTCTTTTGTTCATGGGAGCCTTTGAAATTCCCTTTAAGAACTTTAATCCTAAGGTTTTGGATGGAGTGACCAGTCTGGGTGAAGTTATGACCAACATGGGTTCAATATCCATTTTCCTTGTGGTTCTTGATTGAGTGTCTGTGTAGATTTATTCTCAGCTGCAGCCAGTTTCTCCAATGTAGCAACCTTTGTCGTACACTGTATCATCATGTACACCACATTCACAGAAGTGCATGAATATGATCCCTTAATGTTGTGTGATTTGTTATTGTGTCTATCCATCCAAAACCTTAGGTTTAAAGTTCTTAAAGGGAATTTCAAAGACTCTCATAAACGAAAGACATTTGAGATGAAAATGATCACACATTTCAACAACAGAAATGAAGCACTTAATGTATACTCTGGCTTTCTCACACACTACCAAAACGCTTTATAAACACACATCATAATGCCTTACATAGCTCTATTTTTTACTTTACTTTTTTCTGGCTATTCTCAGCCAACCTGAAACTTTCACTTTCAGGCACTTCTTCTGCTTATTATGTCACCCCACCCACCCCCCTCCTTCCTTCCCTCCCTCCTTTCCCTTCTCTAACATCAGTTGTTTTAAGTGTTAAACTCTATCAGATCGAATTGTATTGCTTTCGACCCGAGGAAGAGAGGAAAACTCTTGAAAAGTTGTGTTTGAAATATAACGTTAGTCCAATTAAAAAGGTATAATTGCATACTGCAATATTCTGGTATTTTGGCATGATATTTATATATGTGTGTGTGTGTGTGTATATATATATATATATTTATATCATGTATCATATTTTAATATGAACAAAAAAATATCTGAAAAGTTTATCAGCAATATTAAAGGACCACTCTAGGCACCCAGACCACTTCAGCTTAATGAAGTGGTCTGGGTGTCAGGTCCCTCTAGGATTAACCCTTTTTTTTTATAAACATAGCAGTTTCAGAGAAACTGCTATGTTTATATTAGGGTTAATCCAGCCTCCAAATCCTCTAGTGGCTGTCTCATTGACAGCTGCTAGAGGCGCTTGCGTGATTCTCATTGTGAAAATCACAGTGAGAACACGCAAGCGTCCATAGGAAAGCATTGTAAATGTAAATGTTTTCCTATGAGACCGGCTAAATGCGTGCGCAGCTCTTGCCGCGCGTGCAAATTCAGCCGAAAGGGAGGATCGAAGGCAGAGAGGAGGAGGAGAGCTCCCCGCCCGGCGCTGGAAAAAAGGTAAGTTTTAACCCTTTCCTCTCCCCAGAGCCGGGCGGGAGGGGGACCCTAAGGGTGCGGGCACCCTCAGGGCACTATAGTGCCAGAAAAACGAGTATGTTTTCCTGGCACTATAGTGGTCCTTTAAATGAAGGTCATAATGTATTATCTATCTATGACATTGTAAGTTTTAACCCTTTCCTCTCCCCAGAGCCGGGCGGGAGGGGGACCCTGAGGGTGCGGGCACCCTCAGGGCACTATAGTGCCAGGAAAACGAGTATGTTTTCCTGGCACTATAGTGGTCCTTTAAATGAAGGTCATAATGTATTATCTATCTATGACATTGTATTATATATTATAATATAATGAACACTCACTGTTTATAACCATAAACATAACTGGCTTAAGTTTCCATTGCTTTGCATTGCAAATTGAAATATTATACAATACTATATTCATCTTCTTTCCATTGTTGATTCTGACTGATAAAATAATATCCTGATAAATACTAATATTCCAGACTGAGATCCAGTCATCCCGCAAACCTGCCCAGAGAACCTGCAAATTGAGGTATTATCTTCCACAATGTGCAGGAGCCGGCACGGCTCAGTATGCACAGATCATGTACACAGCATTCCGGAGGCAGAAGAGGGTTAGAAGGGACATTCTTCATGCTTTCTGGGAATCTGCATTAAACATAAATAAAAAAAATAAATAGATTCTTTAAAAATACTCATACACAGCATACAATTGTTATTACTTATATCCTAATTATTGGGACCCGGTATGCCATAATGAAAGACAAGTGATACATAAATGATATCCTAAATAAATACATTGGATTAATTTAATGAAAACCTCTTTATAATCTGAGGTCCCTGAAATTTTAACATGTCTTAGCATAATGTGTGCTGGCATAATTAATTTTATTTTTAATTGATAGGTTTCTTGCTGGCTGGGAATGAAATCAAACTAGGTAAGTTTCATATGCTATCAGTACTACATGTGAATATTGACTGTTGTTAAAACGTCTTAATTAAAAATTTCAAAGAGGACACAAAAATAACATACTTATGCTCAGGCTAATGAGGTAATAAAGAGCAGAAATAGACAGAAGTGGTTGGCTGAGAGTGTCAATTGACTGCTTTCAGCCTGCCTATCACAACTGCCCATTGCTGGTATAAATCCAATGTAGGTGGGCTTTCGAAAGCCGAGGACCCTCATTAGGTGCTTAACACTGAAATGTAGGGACATCATCAGGAGTGTACAGGCTCTGTAACCAATACAAATAGATTAATGGGTTATAGCACAATGAGTGTGCCTTTAAACATGTTTCATACTAGAAATTGATAGGGTGCATGGGTAAAATTAAAGCAACAGTATGAAAAATCAAAGTTTCCAGAGAATATTTGACATTGGAGTGTGCAGTTTTATATGTTTGTATACATGTGAGTGTGTGCATGTTTGTGTAAAGGTGTGTCTATATGAATATATCTGTGAAGGCATCTTCAGGTATGACTGTGTGTGTCACTATGTCTGGTATTGTGTGAGTATCTTGTTATGGGAGTGATTGAATAAGTGACCAGTTTGTTTACTAATGAAGACATTTAGGCGATTGCTTTAAAACAAAACACACACAGAACTGCAATCCCTACACACATACACCCCACACTACAGTCTCTAAACACATACACACACCCTACATTACAGTCCATATACAGATACACACTCCCCACACTACAATCTCTATACACATACATGCCATACTACAGTTCCTATACACATACACAGCTTATTACAGTCCTTATACACATACACACCTTATTACAGTCCCTATACACACACCCCACACTACAGTCCCTAAACACATACACACACCCTACATTACAGTCCATATACAAATACACATTCCCCACACTACAATCTCTATACACATACACGCCATACTACAGTTCCTATACACATACACACCTTATTACAGTCCCTATACACACACCCCACGCTACAGTCTCTATACATATACACACACCCCACACTACAGTCCCTATACATATACACACACACCACACTATAGTCCCCATACACATACACACACCACATTACAGTCCTTATATGCATACACCACAATACAGTCCTTATGCGCACACACCGCACTACAGTGTGCCGCCACCCCTTCTCAATGAGCTGTATTACAGTTAATTAAAAAAACTTTGAAGCCGCCATCACGTGCACACACCCGTTGCTCTAGCACAGAAGCTTCTCAAAGTCAGTGCTGAGGAAAGAGGGGAGGGCTTGCAAATGCTGCAGACAGTGGGGCTGCAGCTGTTACAAGCTGTTTTTTTCATACATCCACAAATAAATACATGCTTATTTTCTTTCTGTGTAAATCCACTAAATTGTTAAAAAAAATAATGGTTCCTTTAATTATACAGCTTGGTTGGGGTATTGAACACAAAAAGGTGTGGTAAATGTGGGTGCTACTAGAATTTGATATTTAAGTTATATTTTGTTTAGCTGCTAGACACACTCAGTGGGTACTCCCAAAATTCCACCACAAATTATAATCACCAAAAGAAAACACAGAAAAAACTTGGAGTCTTGTTGGTGTTTCCACCTTCCAAGCTCCCAGCTGGAGTGCAGCGCTCTCGATAACTTAAATATCAAATTCTAGTAGCACCCACATTTACCACACCTTTCTGTGTTCAATACCCCCATGCTACCAGAAAAACTAGTGAAGTTTAGAGGAGATGGGAGCAAAGCAAAAAAGGACTTAGGGAGATGGGAACAGATGCCCATAGGATTTATGAGAATTTGAAGGATATTGAGAGATAAACATGTCTCTATTCTCTTATCTCCCCTCCCCTCCCTTGTTTAGGGGGGAGTGCAGAGGTTGGGAATAGGCCTTTGATGCAGTTTTGCATGAGAGTTATCACATTTTGCTTTGGTATAAAGCTTCACTAGGTAGAAGTAAAAGAAAATGTACTAACATGGTAGCAAAATGAATGTAAAAAAATGAATATAAAGATACTTTTAAAACATAACAACCATTAGTAAACACAATATCTATAATAAATATGTAGATCCAATTATTTTAAAAAGGCATTCTTTGTGAGACTAATCTATTTTCTCTGTTTGGACAAGGATTGGCAAGCAACACAGAAATCATGGCCATCCCCAGTAGAGTTGTGCAAAAGGGGATGAATGTAACAATCCAGTGTAAATTTGTGAAAGATCAAGTCACGTTCTGTTTATCTAACCGTAGCAAGATAAAGGTGGAGAAGAAAGCTAATGGACGTGTTGCAAACTTTAACATCAATCCAATGGAGGATGATATTCAAGAGTATTACTGTCTTACCGTGCACAGAACACTTGAAAATAAAGTATCTTATGATAATGCTTCCACTGTTCTTCAATTATTGATCATAGGTGCGTAAATAATTCCACTGATTACATATTGGGGACAGATGTTTAATTTATTAAAAAGAACCTCACTGACATGTTTCATTGTCTTAAAAATGTTTAAACGGAACCTCACTCACGCTGGCTTTTGAGTGTCTTACAGGATTTTTCACTTAATGCCAAATTTGAGCAAACGAAATTGAAATAGCAAAATTAAGGCTAAAATAGCGGATGTGGAAATATTCTCCCATTTGGCTTTATTATGATTATTGTATTTATTTATAAAATATTATACCAGGAAAAATGTATTGATATTTCTCTTGTTTTCAAGCATGTCCTGGGCCAACGAACATTCCATTCTTGCAATATATAATGTTAAAATTACAAAATATTAAAATACACATATACATTTAACACAGACCAGGTAAGAAATAAATTCAACCATGATTACAGGTGCATTCTGTTTTGAGATAAGTAGAGAGAGCCCTCTTCAAGGATTTTAGACTGGAGGAAGATTTGATTGGGTCCTGGAGGTTATTCCATAAGTGTTGTGATCTGTGGGAAAATGAGGATCGAGCCACTTTATTTTTGTATTGTGGTACCCCAAATAAAGTGGTGGTATTGAATCGGAGGTTCAATTACATTATTGGCATTTATATAACTGTAATATATTCTGAAGCACTTTATAATATTATGAAGGGAGAAATTTAACAATAAATGAGACCATAACAAAATGTTACTGGGACATTAGGTAATTAAGGACCCTGTCCAATGGTGTTTACTATCTAGATGTAGTTACAGCTTGGCTTTTATAACGTCAGCCTTGCCATTCGATTTAAAAGAACAATGTGCACTTAAATATCCAACTAACAGCGGACGCAGAGAAACTATACAACCATAATTACGTACCCATGATAAAACTACTGATAAGGGATATGGAAAAGGGGACTGAAAAACCAATATCGTGGATAGGACGGATTCATTCAGTCAAAATTAATGTCCTGCCGAGAATCCTCTTTTTATTCTATACGCTACCTATACATCTCACTAGGGCACAACTGTTACCCTTACAACAAGCAATCAGGGCTTTTCTTTGGCAACATAAACGGCACAGGATATCAAGACATATCTTGTACCGATTGAAAATGCGAGGCGGACTTTATTTACCTAACCTATATTTCTACTATTTAGCAGCTCAATTAGTAGTGATGTGTCACTCTCCCCCAGACGAGAGGAAATGGGTGGACTTAGAATCCTTTATGTTGGGAGCAGACTTACCTCAACTCATCGTGTGGGCACTCAAAGAACATAGATCCCTGATTAGAGCTACTTGCCCGACAATACTTAATTCTTTGGGACTATGGGATTCATCCATGCAAAGTTATGGGTTGGCATCAACCCCTTCTCCCCTCATGCCTTACCTCAGCAACAGGGCATTTACCCCAGGTATGGAGGTCATTACGTTTGATGACCTTAAACAAAGGGGGCATCTTACGCCTTCCGACTTTTTTTTAGATGTCTACAGATTAAGGATTTTGCTAAACAATCCCACATAAAATAAGTGGCACATAAAATTGTAATGACATCCGTGCCCGGTCCCTTTTTGCAGGGGATACAAAACAGCCCTGGAAAAAAATGTATGCCAGCCCCTATAAGTCATTGTGCCATGCAGTGTGTGTGTGTGTGTGTGTATATATATGAAAGTCCACAGGCTGGACTGAAACGTTGATTTATTTTATGGGAATCTGAATAAAAGCTATTTTTTATTGGAAATCCGTGAGTGCAGCCATTCTACTTGTATATATATATATATATATATATATATATATATATATATATATATATATATATATATATATATATATATATATAGAGAGAGAGAGAGAGAGAGAGAGAAAGAGATAGAGATTATTGGTATGTTTCTTTTTCTAATTCAAAATATTGGTTCTGTCAGTCTGAAAAATGTAATTATACAGTAAGCATACTCATATGTAGACACAGACAAGCTCACTGACACAAGCACACAGACAAACAATCTCATTGATACATATAATATAATGGACATAAAAACACAAGTTTACTGATACACAGAAACAGGCTAACTGGCAGACAATCTCGCTGGCTCACACATACAAGCTTACACACACAGTAAAATCTCTGACACTCAATGTTACTACAGACAAACTCATTGGTATACAAACACAAACTCACTACAGACAAGCTCACTGACACACACATGCTCACTACAAACAGGCTCACTACAGACAAGTTTACTGATACACACATGCTCCCTACAGACAGGTTCACTGACACACAAGCTCATTGACACAGACATACAGACAAACAATCTCATTGATACATATAATATCATTGACATAAAAACACAAGTTTACTGATACACAGAAATAGGCTCACTGGCAGACAATCTCACTGGCTCACACATACAAGCTACTGTCACATACACAGTACAATCTCTGACACTCGAGGTTACTACAGACAAGCTCATTGGTATACAAACACAAACTCACTACAGATAAGCTCACTGACACACACATGCTCACTACAGACAGGCTCACTGACACACACATGCTCATTACAGACAAGTTTACTGTTACACACATGCTCGTTACAAAAAAGCTCACTGACACACATACATATGCATGCTACAGACAAGCTCACTGACACACATGCTCATTACAGACAAGCTCATTACATAAAAGCTCACTGACATACACATGGTCGCTACAAGCTCACTGACACACACATGCTCACTACAGAAAAGCTCACCAACACATAAGCTCACTTACAGGCAAGTTCACTGACACATATACACATGCTCACTGAGACATGCTTACTACAGAAAAGTTAGGTGACACATACAAGCTCACTTACACATAAGCTCACTGAAACACACATGATCCCAACAGAAAAGCTCACTGACACACACACACACACACACACACATGCTGATTAAAGAAAAGCTCACTGAGACACATGTTCACTACGGACAAACTCACCAACACATTCAAGCTCACTACAGACAAGCTCACTGACACACAAATGCTCACTACAAACTCACCAACACACACACATGTTCACTACAGAAAAGCTCACTGACACACATGCTCACTACAGACAAAATCTCTGATGCACACACACATGTTCGCTACAGACAAGCTCATTGTCACACAAACATGCTCACTACAGACAAACTCACTGACACACACACATGTTCACTACAGACAAGCTCATTGTCACACACATGCTCGACACACACATGCTCACTACAGAAAAGCTCACTGACACACACACACAAGCTCACAGACATATACACATGCTCGCTACAGACACGCTCACTAACACACACATGCTCACTACAGAAAAGATCACCGACACACACACAAGCTCACAGACAAGCTCACTGGCACATATACACATGCTCCCCACAGACACTCTCACTGACACAAATGCTCACTACAGAAAAGCCATCTGACACACACAAGCTCCCTTACACATAAGTTCACTGACACACACAAGCTCACTGACACACATACACATGCTCACTACAGACAAGCTCGCTGACACACATGCTCACTACAATCTCACTGACACACACACATGCACACTTACAGAAAAGCTTACTCACAATTGCTCCATAGAGACACACTCACTGACACACACACACAAGCTCACTGATACACACACTCATACCAGCTCACTCACTAGCAGGCACACACACACACAATCACAATCATGGTCATGGAATGAAGCCTACTTGTTACAGAAGTCTGTGTGAGACTGGGAGAGCACTGGAAGGTGAAGTGTCCATTTTCTGGCCTCTTCCTTCTGGAGAGGTCAGCAACATTAATGCAGGGGCGGGACATTTGTTCAAGAGGCGGTGCTTGCATGTGGGAGCAGAGCAAAGAGGCACAGAATATCTGGGGATTCAGAAGGTAGCCTCACAGTGATCCCTCTGGCCCCCGGCAGCCTAAATGGGGCTGCACCAGCCCCAAGCACCTCCCTCCAGCCCCCAGCACCTTCCTCTTTCCTTCCCTCAGACTAACACAAGCTGCCACCTTCCAAGGGAAAATTATTTCAAAGGCACCTGCCTCCAAATGCCCATGGTTCATTGGGTTCCAGTCAAAAGATCTATTTAGACAAAGTTTTTACTACGCTTAACAAAGTTTCACCATAACATAATTAAGCGCTTTCTATGGAGGGTCTCGCAGGATCCTCCATAGACCTCAATGTTGTACTAGCACGCATGTGCCAGAGTACAACACTGACGTTAGATCCTGGCAGCTGCAGTGCCAGGAGATGAAGAGAACCAGACGGAGGATGATGGCAGCACCCATAGGGACAGGTTCAGTTAAGTAAATCTCAATTTTCCCTGCCCTCCTCAACCACCGGCCAATGGACCCAATACCACCACTGGGGGTTTCATTTATATATGCAAATTAAATCATTCAACTAAAGTTGTTTTGGTGTCTCTTTAGATGTAAGTGATAAGTAAACATAGTTTTAAGATCATTAGAAGTGACAGTTCCAGAGACCTCCAATATTTAACATCATGGGAGCACCTTACCCCAAAACACCAGAGACAATAAAATAAAAATAAGATGACTGAGAGGCTTTATTTTAGTGAATGAATGTATACTTACCCCCCTCACCCCCTTTCCCTTTCCCCGATATAGAATGATAAATGATACGATATAAGTACATTGACGTAATAAACTTTTTGACTAGTATGAAGAGTCTAAGAGAAAGGAGGAAGAGAGAGAGAGAATTTACTTACGTATTTATTAATTTTTGATTAAATAACTATTTATCACGGTATCTATATATGTATCGTATTATGAAGTTTATATAATTTCTTCTTTTTTCTTCTGTTGTCTTTTAATGTATTTGTAATACATTATAAAACAAGTCAATAAAGAGAAATATAAAAAAGTCAGACAGATATTGATATAATATCTATTGAAAAATATATTATTTTTTTCACTAAAATAATTTAAATTCAAAATTGATAAATTTTTGCATTGTAAATGCACTTTGCATACACAATACAAGGTTTATTTGCTTCTGTGTATTTGTGTGTGTCTTTGTGTGTTTGTATGTGTGTTAACTTGGGTGTAAATTGAGCCACTTGGTATATGAATTTGTAATTTAGTAATTTAACTGAATAAAATTCATGTAGAAATAAAAAATAAAAAAATAGAAAAAGAAGTGACAATTCCTTTTTATTAAAGCCTCCAAGGATATGAAAAGGTGCCATTAACAATACACTGCGAGGGAGCCTGGTTGTGGGAGTAATGGCTATTTGAATATGCACATGGTGAATGTGTGAAAGAATATATATTTATTAAATGTGTGCACTCATATTATCTTTCATTTCACATATGTTAAAAACTCTTCTCATCTGTTACTATAGATTTTTTTTAAATAGAGATATAAAAAGCTAATGTATCTTATAACTCTTTCAGATCCCAAAAAGCCGATAATATCCTCTTGGAAGAATGTTAATTTCACAGTAAAGTACAAAATTAACTGTGCTGCTCCAGAACCTGTTGCAGAATGTGAATTTGGAATTTTTTTTCTATTCGAAAACAACAAGAGGAAAAAAAAAGTTCATAATCAAGGAAAGCCCAAAGTAAACTTTAATGGCCCTTTTAGTAGAACTGCTAATTACACTTGTGCTTATACTTTAAAAGTCAAAGAATCACCCAATCATATTATTACATCACCATTAAGTGACCCATTGATTCTAGAGAAAGGTAAGTCCCATAAATTGCTACATATGCAAATAGAGAATACCTCTGTAAAACACAAAGCGGTAGGTATACTAATTGATACAAGCTCTAACACCTGTGAGGTATCCCCTACACCTACACCTTTAAATCATATATAACACACAAACAATAGGTGGAGCAAGTATGGCATATAGATTAAAAAAATGTTTGTGATACTTCTCTCTCTTCTTGCTTTGTCACTGTAAAGATAGAGAGGTACAGAATAGTGCAGATACATAATATGTAAATTCAATATAACTAAAACACACTAACAAAGATAGAGCCATATACTGAACCTGGCTCTGGTGTGGATTTCCTTAGGATCTCTTTAGGGTGATCCAAACCCTCTTTGTTGATGCTCTGGAACAGTGGGAATATTCCTTCTCAAAGATAGGCAGCTAAGATGAAATAACTTGCCTAAAATTAAATTTATTGTTACATACACTGGATAAAACACTTCATGAATAGAGATGTCGCGAACTGTCCGCTGAACTGTTCGCGAACTGTCCGCTGGCGAACAATAGCGTGTTCGTGTTGGGCGAACATATCCGATTTCCGGTCCGCCCCCTATACGTCATCATTGAGTAAACTTTGACCCGGAACCTCACAGCCAGCAGACACATTCCACCCAATCAACAGCAGACCCTCCCTCCCAGGAAGTGTCTGCTGACTGTGAGGTTCCGGGTCAAAGTTTACTCAATGATGACGTATAGGGGGCGGACCGGAAATCGGATATGTTCGCCCAACGCAAGCACGCTATTGTTCGCCGGCGGACAGTTCGCGAACAGTTCGGCGGACAGTTCGCGACATCTCTATTCATGAAATATAAGTTTAAAAAGTCTACTATTGTCCAATTGTGTGCCAAAATGCGTTTCGCCAAAATGTGGCTTCCTCAGTTGGCATAGATGATGCCAACAGAATACTTCTGTCTAAAATAATCATCAAGTGGTAATGTTACTTTTTAGTTTTTCATAAAGGTGGATTCTTTATGAAAAACACATGTTCGCTGTTGGACTTTCTTTATTTCTTTAACAATCCAAAACTATCAGAAGATTTACGAGTTAAAGTCGGAAGCATTTTGTCTCATTTGGCAAATATGTGGCAATGGATGGTCCTTCAGGAGCATCAACTTGCCATTTCCCATCAGCCATTGCTCTTTGCATCTAATGGGAACATGCATCCTCTTGAGTTGTGCAAGAGATACATATGACATATAACTGTGCATATGTGAGAAGATCCATGGATCTTTTATGGTCTTTCATAGACCCATGTTGTATATACTTGCCCTAGCCATAGTGTAGAACAGGCTTCCCCAAACTCCAGCCCTCCAGATGTTGCTGAACTACAACTCCCATGATTCTCAGCCTATTTATTTCATTTGTAGAATCATGGGAGTTGTAGTTTAGCAACATCTGGAGGGCCAGGGTTCGGGGAAGCCTGAAAATTGTTTTTAGATGAAGAGGATAGAAGCTGTAGAGACATGGAGGTCGACAAAATTTGGAGGAGGGATAATAAAAGGTAAGTATATCTTGCTTTCTACTATGTCACCTTAGAAGAAGGTGGTTGAAAAAATTCAAAGTTCTCACACAGAACAGTGGCAGCTCTACAACGTTCCAAATAATGTAAGAAATTAAAAATGTCTGAATAGTACATAAATTGCATATAAACAAATCTGGTCTACTGTCATATCCTCGATGAATCTGCTACATAATTTCCAGATTAAAATTTTCATCGGAAATACAATGCAGCTGCGAGCATGATCTCATATAGTGAAAATAGATAAGTTCTTACACAAATACGACTTCTTTTCATTTGTGAAAGCAATTCTTATTTGTTCTATTTTTCACTTAACAAGATGCTGCATATCATTGCATGAATTGTATCACCGAAATTGCACATATATATATTTGATATGAAAAAAAGTAAAAAAAAAAAGTATTTTAAAAATGACAATACATTCTCATTAAACATATAGTAACTGTTACTTCCCATGATTTAGATTTTTTTTGCTTATGTATCCCTATATTTAACACTTGAAAAATAAAATTAAATATAGAAATCCACACCTTGTTTACCATGCAACTAGGTGCCTCTCCCTCTCTCTTTCGTCATGTGCTAAATGTTTACTGTAGTTTTTGTTTAAAAAAAATAAAATAGCATTGTATGAGAAAAGGTTAACAAAAGGAGTTGTAGGTTATTTTCAATGTTTTATTCAAAGTTGTAAATTCCAGAGAAGACACAGCTCCTCTTTAAACTTTCCATAAAAAGCTTATTTCGTATACCTTGCCGTAGTAATTTGTCCTCTCTTATACCTCTGATCTTCTTTCTTTTGTAAGCGTAAAACTACTACTTCTTATCTCATGTAAAATTAATAGAATACAATTATTCTAAGTTTCAGGTACAGCTCAGAGTATTGAGAAGCATGCAGATTACACAAAGATGAATATAATTCGGTTGGTGTTGACTGCAGGACTTTTTATTATCACTTGTGTTATCATTGGCGAATATATAGTAAGCTGGAAAAGACAAGCATCAATAGTGTCTCGGAAAGAAGTGGATAATATGTACCAGAATTGCCATTTTTAAACATCTACAGACAGACTGTCTGCTGAAAAAGAAGTACTTCAATTAAAGTGGCACTTTCATGCCGAACTTACCTTTCCCCAATCGCTTCCTCTTCACTTCCTCTCTCAGGATCTGTTCTCCATTTCTTTTGTCTGCGCTAGTTTTCTTTAAAACATAAGACAAAGTAGGAACAATAGATATATAAGGGCTGCGCCAAAAGTCCAGTAAGCTATAACTAGGATACTAGTAGATCGTCTGGGATACTGGATAAGGTTTCTTGGTGGAGGTAGGTGCGTCTGGTGTTGACCGTTCAGTATATAAAAATACAAAAGAGGTAGAGGCAACCAATGGTGCAGTATGTAAAATTCGAGGTGCGGTAGGTAACAAAAGTAGAGAACTCACATTCAGGAGAGCTATGGCCAGCTCTGGTCTGAAAAGCGTACAGCGGTATAATCCCTGCTTATGGGATATGTAGGGGAAGGCTCTCCGTCAACACCGTCTGGTAATCCAAAACTCGGAAGAAGAGATAGAAAAAACAATAGTGCTCTCAATTGTGATATAGTTGAATGTGCAATAGATAGAAAAAGGAACTCACATTTGAGGGAGCTATGGCCAGCTCTGGTGTGGATAGCGTACAGCGGTATAATCCCCATTTATGGGATATGTAGCGGTAGTACGTCCGTCAGCACCGTCTGGTAGTCCAAAGCTCCAAGAGAGAGGGATAAAAAGCAACAATAGTGCTCTCAATTGTGATGGGATACAGGAGTAAAATAACAGATAAAGTAATACTCACAAAGATAGAGCAGAGGTACTGCTCTATGAATGGGCGTTGGTGGTACGATCTGATACCTCTGCTCTATCTTTGTGACTATTATTTTATCTGTTATTTTACTCCTGTATCCCATCACAATTGAGAGCACTATTGTTGCTTTTTATCCCTCTCTCTTGGAGCTTTGGACTACCAGACGGTGCTGACGGATGTACTACCGCTACATATCCCATAAGCGGGGATTATACCGCTGTACGCTATCCACACCAGAGCTGGCCATAGCTCCCTCAAATGTGAGTTCATTTTTCTATCTATTGCACATTCAACTATATCACAATTGAGAGCACTATTGTTGCTTCTATCTCTTCTTCTGAGTTTTGGATTACCAGACGGTGTTGACGGAGAGCCCTCCCCTACATATCCCATAAACGGGGATTATACCGCTGTACGCTTGTTACACCAGAGCTGGCCATAGCTCTCCTGAATGTGAGTTCTCTACTTTTGCTACCTACCGCACCTTGAATTTGACATACTGCACCATTGGTTGCCTCTACCTCTTTTGTATTTTCATATACTGAGTGGTCAACACCAGACGCACCTACCTCCACCAAGAAACCTTATCCAGTATCCCCGACGATCTACTAGTATCCTAGTTATACGTTACTGGACTTTTGGCGCAGCCCTTATATATCTTTTTCCCTACCTGTGTTTACTCACTGAAGGACTTGAGGGGTTCTCCTTCCTTTGGGTTGCTGCCTACCTTTACTAATTGTGTGGTAATTAGCGCTGAATTCTCTCTTTTTTCGTGTTTATTAGAAATCCATACCCTGTTAAAAATGCCTACTAGTTTTATGAATTAATACAGCAATGTAAACAATAAAGCAGGACTGATTGAGACTGCACAGGAAGATTGGTAAGTATGGAGTCCTCACAGTGGAGTCAATCAGTAATAAAAATAAGTTTCTAAGTGGAGATGATAGCAAGATGGTACTAAATGGTATAGAAACACTATCTAATCTGCCTAAAGATAACAGTTCAGCAGGACTGATTAAGACCACAAAAGGAAATTGCCAAATCGGTGATTTAGATAAACTGCTGAATGAAGGTAATGACAGGATAATACTAATGGTAAAAAAGGAGCTTAATTTACCAAGGAGAATTAAACTTATATTAGAAACCTAGATATAGTAACAGACGTCCTATAGTCAAAACTGTCTATTCGTCACTAGGTATATATGTCTATTAGTGTTCCAATTATTACTCCCAGAATACCATATACATATCAATCTGTAACAGGCAGAGAAGACCTCTAAATCATTTGGCAGGCAGAGAAGGCAGTCTAAAGACTCATGAGAGGGGGGGAAGGGGGTTAAGTTGCTAATGGGTTCTATAGATGGATCTCTATGTACTCAGTGTATAGAATTCTGTTAGTGATAACTCTTCAAGATATAAACAGAGACTTGTCAGGATGCTGATAGCTGCACAATCAACTAGCTATACTTCAAATCCTACAACTAGCACTCCCACTGTGCTTTCAAGGGCACCTGCCACCATTCCCACTAAGCAAGTGCCGATATGATAGTAGAAAAAATAAAATAAAAATGAATTAATGAAAGAAAATAAATAAACTAATAAATCAAATAGCTCAGGCGCAAATTCAAGTGCTGGTTACTGAATTATAGAAACAGCATGCTAGGAACCCCTGACGCGCACGTTTCGCCTGACCTGGCTCATCAGAAGGGACCAGCTATGACCAATGGCGAATGCCCAAGTGTTTAACTGGGTATGTGCTTGAATTTGACAGCGCTATCTACTGTGGGCTGATGACATGTCCCACAAGGACTTCATCTACCCAAACAAAGACCTAGGTCACAAGGGATTTCCAACCCCAATGCAGCGTAAAAAAATAGTGAAAGTCAAGGCTTACTTTTAATTTAATTTTTTCCATAGAATCTTACATTTTGTATGATGAACTCTGACAGTCACTGTTGACATGCCTCCTGTTATACCAGAGCACTCAACTTCGATAGAGATTTACCACATTAGCACCTATACACCCTGAGAGACCCTAGCCTAGCGCCCAGTGAAAGATAGTTACCCTCTGAGACAGGAGATAGGGATACCTCCATCACCAAGATTCGCATTTTGATTGGCTGCTCAGGTACATACCATCTAAAAATTACTATACAGTAAGGGATCCTTGGTGGCAAAACCCACAAATCTTCTACTACTTTGTCGTTGACCCTTTTCTCTGCAAATTATTATTTTTTCCTTCCTTCCTTCCTTCTCTTCTCATTGACAAGTACTTACTCTCCCTCCACATTAAAATAGGTAGTTTCACGTATTTACCAGGGATTCTTAGCTTTGATTTTGGGGTTTTTGTACATTCTATTGCAGTCCAATTTTTTAACATTAGGGGAAAAGGTCATACATTCTCAATAGCGAACAATTAACTATCTGCATCTCGGAAGACAAGGATGACCTTCCACTTCCCTGGCTTCTTTTAGCTAAACCAAATAAAAAGTCAAAATATTTTTTTTTTTAGCATTTATTTATTTATTTGTTGATTATCCTTACTGTTTGCTTATTTTATTCATTTATTTATTTGTTGCCTATTTCACTTTATATCTTATTCCTGCTTCTGGGAGGTTCTCCAAAACTTGGTCTGGATCGATCAAAGTGGATTGTGATGGGCCTTTTGCAATTCTAAATCTTGTGAGTGCAACTTACTCAAGTGTAATTTTATTTTGTATTAAGCGCTGCACAATGGTTTTGTATCTTCTTTTCTCCAACATGTAATTATCTGGATAACGAGAAGAAAGGATGTTCCGCTTTTACACATTTCATTCTGGCTTGCTTGGTGTTAGTATTTACTACACTATTGTGGTTCTTTTGTATTTTATATTGCTATATTTTTATTTTGTCTAATAAGAAGGAATAGATGAACCTTCGTATAACCTGCATATTCTAAAGACTAATTTTTACCTTTTTTTCACTGGTGTGTTAGTTTTGATCTTTTGATCTTTAATTTTGTACCTGCCCTGGTAAAGTACTTGTTATCTTATGGTTTCTAATAACAATGCTGTTTTTTTTTTATTGTATTGAGAAAGATTTCTGCCCAATGTTTCAATACTTGCATTGTTATTTATCTGTTTTATTTATCTGTTTTCTATACATTTACTGTATTTAAACTAAATAAAATAACACACATTTAAAAAAATTTAAAAATAATGATCCTTGTTAAAATTGTTTTGTAGTGCTTGTTTATACCTGGAACGTTCAAATATTTTCATTTTTCTTTAATATAAAATGTAAGCAATATGCAGGAATTGACCCACAATGTTGTAATGTATAGAATTGATAAGGCATTGAATATTAAAATGGAAAAAATTAATTGCGTTTAAAGATTCTAAGTCTGTTACACTTACATAGCAAATGTCAACCGCTGGAAGATTCCTCCAACCCTGGAAGATGGACCACCAATCAGAATTTCTTATTTTGGACTGTGAAGTCTACTCTTATTCCACGAATCCCTGCTTGACTTGTGTACACACTTTATCCCCCATAGGCAGTCCCATTCATCAAATTTCATGACAGGGACTTCTTTGTCCCCTTATAACAAATGATGTGGCCAGGACAGTCATAGAAAACTTGGGGAACATGGTTTGTGGCATGTAAACATGGGATGATTCTGATGTCTCTACAAATGGACCTGTCAGTAACAGTCAGTTATCCTCATTTTCCATAATACCATCATTCTCAAAGCATAACTGTGTGTCAGGAAATCCAGAATGACAAACAAAGCATTGGTAACGCAGTGTGTGTCAGCATTCTAAGCATTCGCACTCACAGTAATTTTGAGTAAGAAAGGTGCTAGGAGGGCAGTGATTAAACTGTCCCTCTCCCTCTTATGTCTTCCACTGGCATCACTCTTAGAAATATATTCATTGACTTTCTTTACAGAGTGTGTTTAAAGGTTTTAAACCTTTTGCTGCTACATTGGTACCAACTTGGCTTGCATCGTTTGGATTATGTTACTGGACATTCCCTCAACCCTCCTTTTAAAACATTGGTAATGAACCATTGTCTTGGCATTTGGACTATAATTATTGTATTCTCCCAATTTTCTTACCTTCTTTAGTTAATTCACTGTGTTCCTTCACTGACAACTACTGAGTGGATTGACATGATTTGAGGTGGTAAAAGCTGAAATTAACCTCAACAGTGCTATCCTAGCCATCAGGCCCCAACCCCTTATGCATTTACTTACTTATTATTGCTTTTTTTTTTCCCTCTATTGGTCACTTTCACTTGATTTATGTACCAAATAGAATAAAACTCCACTATTTTTAGATTTATACTATGTATATATTTTGCAATACATTACGAGGTGATTTTTTTTTTTCTAGAAATGATTGCAAGAACTAAATTCGTCAGAACCAAAATGCCATTTGGATAAAACTACACTTAACCAAAACAAAAAACAATAAAATGTAATAATACCTTAATTCAATTATTATGTGGTTTACATAACAAGCTAGGGTTTAAACTTGGACTTGGGTATAGACCATAGGGCATGATATAGAGCTAAATATGTAGGAGGAACAACTACCATTTGTCTTTAGTGGCCTCAATCCACTGACCTCTAGTCTTTCTGACACCTTTCTCATACTCTAGCCCCAGCACAAACATGTCTCCTTAACCTTCCATCAGCAAACAACAACTGGAAATGTTAGAAATGATTTTACACCTGACATGAACATGGACATAAATTAGATGGTGATAGCTCCATCTCTTGTCAAGTTTTGTAATATGTAGGACAAATGCATAACACAAAATAGATCCTAGCTTTCTTCTGATATCTTTTGACTACTTTGGAATTTAGGTGAATTTCCAACACAGTCAATATGAGTATATTTATAAAGATTACATCTTTATAAAATACTCAATAAGGAGGAGGGGTGGTGACAGAACCTCATGAACGCATTTTATAGGTTTTATCCACATATATGCACTAATGATTTTGAACGCTCAAATTATTGTAGTTTTAAGAAAAACAATATTGAAGCAAAAGCTGCCCTTAATGGCCACACCCCCAAAATACTTATTTTTTAGTGTATGTACACAGCTCAGCCATAAAAAACCTTCTGCAAGTTGGATGTAAAGTGACCTTCTTTATTATTTTTATTTATTTATTTATTTATAAAATATTTTACCATGAAGGATACATTGAGATTTCTCTCGTTTTCAAGTATGTCCTGGGTCCACAAAACATTGCATTGATACAATAGGGTACAATAAAATACAAAACCAATATTAATACACAATATATACAAAATTGAACAAAGAACAGGTAGGAAATATATAATCAACCATAACACGTGCATTCTGTTTTGAAGTATGTAGAGACGAATTTATTAAAGGATTTTAGGCCTGGGGAAGATTTGAAAGTGTGCGGGAGGTTGTTTCATAATTGCAGTGCTTTGTAGGAGAAGGAGGATCGGGCCGCTTTCTTTTTTGTATTGAGGTAGACTAAATAAAGTGCTGGTACTGGATCGGAGGTTATAGGAGGTGGGAACAGCCGGGGAGAGCATTCTGCTCAGGTAGGGTGGGAGCTTCCCAGAAAAACTCTTAAACACAAGGCTGGAAAGATGAAGGGTGCGTCTGGATTCCAGCAACAGCCAGTTTAGTTCTTTTAGCATGTAACAATGGTGGGTCCTGTAATTACATTGTAGCATAAATCGATAGTACGAGTTATCCAATGTATTACGTTTATTAAGGTGGGTTTGCGGTGCAGGTGCATATACTACATCCCCATAATCAATTGGCATCAGCCTCTGCTATACAATCTTTTCCTTTACTGTAGGGCATAGGCAGGATTTGTTTCTGTAAAGGGCACCTAGTTTTGGATAAAGTTTAGATGCAAGTTTTTCCATGTGGAGGCCAAAAGATAGATTGGGGTCTAACAACATAACCAGGTATTTCAAAGAGTGGACTGCGCTCAGTGTGCTATATGATTTTGTTTTGATGGATAGGGGGGAATTGTGTAATTTGTGTAATTTAGGTACTGTTCCAAAGATCATTGTGACAGTTTTGTCACTGTATTGTTTTGTTTTTTGCGATCCACTTTTCCACCT